TTGGTATCCCTTCTGCACTGGGGACTGATGGTTGTCATTCTACCTCAGGAGAACTGAGGTCAGGAAGGAAGGGCAACAGGTAGGGCTGAATGACAAAGTCCAGGGCCCTTCCTCACCTTTAGTGTCCCCTTTCTTCTCCTGGGCTCCCCTCTTGGAGCTCTTCTTTACCCAGCAGGACAAGGGTACCAGGGCACTGGCTCCTTGGCCACCTGGATTTGGGACCCCACTGCACTCCCTCTGTCAAATGACAACTGAGCCTGCAGAGGGGTGAGGGGCTAGGACCCTCATGCGGGGTGGGGAGACCAGGAGGGAGAAGAGAAGGAAAATGTTCTCTCCTGGGCTAGATCTTCAACCTCCACAGTTCAGAGAGGGAAGCAGCTGGCTCCAGTCCTTCTCCTCTCCTCTCCAGCAAGCAGGGAGCTTTAGTTCAAACCGCTTCTGCTACTTGGACTAGATCAATCTACCTACAGGTGGCCTGGGTCCCCTCCAGCCCTGACACCCTCCACCATTTTGGCATCCACCCTGATCTTCTTGTGTTTGAGGCTAGATGTGATCCTTTAACATCCTCCGTCCTTGGTTCCCAGTGCTGGTCCCCAGTCTTCCCAGCATCACCTTTAGGAAAAAAGTGACTAGAAAGATCCAGGCTTCATTCTATCATTTTCCAGTTCAGAGTCCTTGGAAATATCAGCTAATCCTCTTTCTCACTGCCAGCCTCTATTTCCTCACCTGCAAAGTGGGATAATAACACCTACTCTCACAGAGCCGTTGTAAAGGCCAGATGCATGATGAGTTTTGGAATGCGCTCACCGACACAAGTTGTCGCTATCGACCAAGCAGTCCTGAATCCCTGCACTAGGCCAACTGCTCCTTGAGGACAGGGATTTGTCCTCATCTGTCTGAGCCCAGGGTCTGACCCAGAGTGGTGCTCCATAAATGGTAAAGGAACTGCCAGTTAGATCAGAGAAGAGGATTGGAGCCCTCACACAGCAAAACAGCTGGAGACACTGGAGGAGATCATAAAAAAAAGAAGGAGGAGGGGGGGGGGAAGAAGGGAACCAACAGGGAGTGGCTGAGGGAAACCATGGGAGAGCTCAGTACTTGGGAAACTACACACCAACACGAGACGTGCACATGATGGATGGGAGAAAGTTCTGAGGAGCAGAGCCATACACGCAGCTTTTACAATTCAGCCCTTAGAGACATTGAGTCCAAACCCCTCCTTTATAGAGAAGAACCTGGCAGAATCACAAAGGCCTGAATTAGGTTCCTGGTTATAAGCTGTGCAACCCCAGGCAAGTTAGTTTCTCACACTTGGCCACCATTTCCTCATCAGTGAAAAAGGAGACAATAATGCCTCTGTCTCCTAGGCTTATTGTGAGAATTAAATGAGATGATGCACATAAGATTGCCCACATGGGCCCAGTCTGGGAAGCAGGCTCTGCAAATGTCACTGGTTTTTTTTTCCCCTTGCTCCTGAGTTCTTCATGTTTTCTCTTGTGTTTGAGACTAGATGTGAGAAGTGGGATTAAAAAGTCACAGGGTGAGCTGGATCCATGCTTGGGGACTGACAGTTTCAGCCTGGGGGATTTTGAAATGTGAGTAAGGCTATATTCTTTTCAAGTCTTTAATTGAGAACAGATAAATATTGTCAGCTCCAAAAGTGAAGGAGAAGTAGTAACAGGTGGGCAGATATTAGGAAGGACAGAAAAGTTAATAGTGGAGCAACGTAGAAAGAACTTAACTTCTCTCTTCTGTATGTGTGTGTGGGGAGTGTGGTGAGGACAAGGGTTCTGGAACCTCTGCCTGGTCCCTAGTGTTGCCTAGGTTCTTAGACAATTTCTTCTCTTCTGTGTTGGAGGAGAAAGGAGGATGAACTGTCTTGCCAGGTCCCCACCAACTGGGAGGTCTGTGTTGGGCCTGAGAACCCTCTCCTTGGCACTCCTGGCCAATGTGGATGGGGAATTTCGTTTCATTTTCCTAGCTCCCACCCCTAGTGCCCCTTGGGGATTTCACACAACCCTGGGGTGCTCTCATGGAACACGGGCTTTCTAGGTCATCTTTGTTTATAGTTCCTTTAAAACCCAGAGACAAACCACCCATTAATTCATGCACTGCTGGGAAGGCGAATGTGTCTTTTAAAATTTCAAAGGAAGCCATTAAACCAAGTTGGTAACCATTGTAACTCATAATAAGCTTTCCTCTGTTAAAAAAAAAAAAAATGAGTCAGAGTGACTTTCCAGGAAGTTTGGTTACTGTAATTAGCTACTTCTTTTTTCTTGCCCTTAAAAACATACAGTAATTTGAGAATCACCTAGGCATTGATGCTACTAGCTAGGAGCTGAGCCCTGAAGGAAAATGTGGAGGGGCATCGTAAAGCTGTGGCCCACACAAAAGTTGCAGACATCGCTATTTCTTTTCAGTTGAGAAGGAACCACACAGAAAGGATGAGTGAACAAAACCAATCCATGAGGAGGATCCACTTACTGTTGAGTGAAGGGGAACAGGGCACCCCAGCCACTTGTGTTCCAAGAGCACTTGGCAGTGATGCCCATTCTGTATATTATAAAATCGCAGCCTCTTAATGAGGCCATTAGAAGCAATAATGATCACAGCTGTCCTGCACCAAGCCTATGCTAAGGGCTTTAGATATCATCTCGAGTAACTCTCAGCCCACTTTCTAAGACGAGCATTTATCTTCCCTCTTTACAGAAGAGAAAAGGATAAATGATTAGGTCACATAGCCAGTAAGCAGCAGAGATGCTCATTTCTCCAAGGTCTGTTTGATTCTAAATCCATACTTTTCAAAGCTCATCAGTTCCTGCCTCCTAAGAGGGCACAGTGGCTGGTCTGAAGTCACATGATACCTTGGCAGTATCCCTTGATGATATTCAGATTCTGTGGGTCCTAACCTATGTCTGGATTCCTTCTTCCTTAACTACTTTGTGCATAACTCCCACTGTCTCAGGAAGTCAGAATTTGTTCAGATGGTCTGTAACACATCAACCTTCCTAAGCTCCTCCCAGGATTGGATCCCCACCCCTTTTCTGGCTCACCTTCCAGGGTTCTGTGCAACTCGTTCTTACTCTTAGTACAGTCCCCTGACTTGCTCAGGGTAATTGATGGCAAAGCCCCTGTGCCAGTGTTAAGTATGGTCTTTACCCACATGGACACTTGCTTAGACGTGTCCCAGGTAATAGGGCCCAGGTGAAAAGAGTTGGCTCTGGCCAGCCTGCTTCCAGGAAAGAGCAACCCAAATTCCTCAGGATCGTGGCTCCTGGGCTGATTTTTCTCCAAGGGAAGAGTGTCAGTGTGGGCACTATGCCCATCACTCTCCAGCTGAACTGATCTCAGATTCTTGAGATTAAAAGAAAATTTCTTCTCAACTGGGAAGAACAGGTACTCTCCACCACAGATCTTAGTAAACCATATCCAGCTAATAAAGTCATTGAAAAATGGGTGCCACTATCCTCAGTCCAGCTGTTCTTCCATACAAAGCAAATAGAAAGACTGGAACCAGGCAGGCTAGCTCATGCCTGCATTCCCAACCATTTGGGAGACCGAGGCAGGAGGATTGCAAGTTCGAGGTCAGCCTGGGCAACTTAGTGAGACCCTCAGCAACTCAGAGAGATCTATCTCAGAATAAAAAGTAAAAAGAACTGGGGATGTAGATCAGTGATAAACTTCCCCTGGGTTTAATCCCCAATCCTCAGTACATACCCCAGATTGTAGCTACCTGTAGTTATATGTGTACTGCATGCAAGTAGACACTATTTCAATAATAATTTGGAGAACACAAAAGCTTATGGAAAATGCATCTTGCAGATGAACCTCCAAGGCTTCCCAACTATCTTGTCTCTGATCCCAGATCTTTCAGCTTCAAGAATGGAACTAGAGTATTTCAGAAGACTTGAAAAAGACTTTAGCTTTAGGGGACATTGATTCTCTTCTAATTTCTATGTCTCTAATGATCCAGATGAAAGGCTAATTGAGGTCTTGTTGGGATGCTGTTAAAATTATTTGGTAGAGTTACAATTTCTACTTATCTTTCTGTAAATTCTCTTTAATTACATAGAGTTTTCAAACCAAAGCTTGGGTCATGGAGGGAAAAGGAAGAGAGCTGTGAAACTTTCTTCTCAATCTTTTCTGTCTTCTTTCTTTTCTACATAAAGTAAAATTATCTCTAGGTATCAAGTCCTCCTCTCTGAGCCTATTTACCATCCATACACACTTTATTTGGAAGGGAACATTTGTGCATGGGCTTCTTTGATTAGTTTCTTAAGGACTGTTAAGCTGGGTGTGATGGTGCATGCCTGTAATCCCAGCAATTTAGGAGGCTGAGGCAGGAAGATCACAAGTTCAGGGTCAGGCTGGGCAATTTAGGAAGACCCTGTCTCTAAATAAATAGATTAATAAATAAATAAATATTAAAGGGCTGGTGATGTAGCTCAGTGGTAAAGCACTCCTGGGTTCAATCTCCAGTACCAATACATAAAATACAAATGCATAAATAAGGACTATTGAAAAATATGGGGCTAAAAGACCCTGGTTCCATCTACCAAAAGAAGTCTCTACCTTAAGTTAGTCAGTGGCAACTGGAAACACAGCCTGCTGCTTCTAACCATGTTGGACTGGCATCTCAAAATGAATCACAGGTCTGAGGGTCTAGCTTAGTGGTACAGCACTTGCCTAGCATGTGCAAGGCCCCTGACACCCATTCCCAACACTGAAAAAGGAATTGCCCTCCTAACTTTTTTGATTTGGTTTTGTTTTCTTAAGAATCTGGCTCTTTCCTGACTTCATTACAGAGGTTTGTTCCTGTGAGACCAGTATCTGTTATTCCAAAGCTCCAGGGTCCCATTTCAGATCACAGAGAATCCCCTTGCTTCCTAAGACTGGATGAAAGACCAAGCAAGAACAGACATTACCCTGCTGGACATTTTCCGACAACTTCCTCCCATACCCTGCTTGCCTGTTCCATCCCCAGAAGAGAAGCCCCTTACCTGGCTCCACATGGCTGAGAGCACCTCGGGCGTCAGTGGAATCTGCTACATCCCCACTCATCTTGATATCTGCAGAGAAAACACAACTGATCTTAATAACAGGTCACAATTTTTCTTGCTATGACATATGTGGCTTTAACTAAACAGCAAAGATGAATGTGTAATTACAACAACCATCAGACTTTCAAATTCCTGATTCCCGAACATACAATCATTAGAATATTCATAAGCTTAGGGGCACAAATCCCCTCCTCCCGTGCCTGCCTCCTCTCCTTGTCTTCCTCCCCCTCTCCATTGCTACTTCAGGGTCTCACCTTTTGCATCATTGCTACTTCCTTCTACCACCAAGACTCAGTTGGCAAAAATGTAACAAGGGGAGGGGCATTGAGGTAGGGTGCGGAGCCCTTCCCATTCCCATCCTTCATTTTCTTTGGGATTTGGGAGATTTGTTTTATTTCTTTAAAGTAGCACCAGAAATCTCTCTCCTCCCTGCCCTGCTCTACCCAGGAAGGTACCTGTGAACCAAAGTTTACCCATCTCATCTTAGGTCCCCAGTTCTCTGCCTAACACAGAGATCAGTGCACCCTCTAGGGATCAAACCCTAGCTCCTGTGTCACTCATGTCAAAGATCCTGTTCTTTGGAGATCCTTACCTTCTCTTCTACTCCTTCAACTTGCTCAGTGAGAAAGGGGTGGCAGTATGTCACTGCCCTGCTGAGAAAACATACCTACACAGGGCCCCATTATCAGCCCCCCAAGCCTGGCTGGTCTGGCCTCTCCCGCCCTGCTTCATTTTAATAAATTAAACATTTACCCATAACAGTCAGCTGCCACCACCTATGAGGTCCCTAAGTCTCCTCCCGGGTCAGCAGAGGCAAGGAAAGAGGCAACTTTGAACTAACTCTCTGGACTCCTCTCCTTATTAAACCACCCAAATACTGAAGCTATTAAAGACAGAAGAATATTTTATTCAAATCAGGGTGACCCCCCCTTTCACCCTCACCCTCTTCTCTAGGGCAGCACTTTAACTCTTTCAAACCTGATAGTCTTGGTGAGCCAATTTGCATAGTCGGCTCCCCAGCCAATCCCACTCAAGAAGGCAGCCTTAATTTGCATCAGGTAATCAGACAGTTGGCAGTCTGGATGTCTGAGGTCTGGAGATGATCAGAATGAGGGGAAAGGCTGGACTTCTGCCTCAGGAAAAGAGGGGAGAAAGCCTGTGTTTTTAAAGGGCAGTGATTTTGTATGGCTCTGGCAGAGATTTACACCTGCTGGGTGTTGTGACTGAGGTACCAAGCACGATGGGAAGAAGGGGAGTCAAGAACACTCCAGGAGTCAGTGGGGAGTGGGGGACTAAGACAACCCTAGGAGTTCTATGAGACCTGTCGATTGAATGAGAACTCCTTGGTAAATACTTGGTGCTCCATGAAGCCCTCCCCAGACACTGGGGATGCACTTAGTGGAGACCCTGCAACCATTTGACCTCCTGGGCATTGCACTTGGACATTTCTTGAGCCTGACTTCAGTCCTTCCTGCTTCGATTTCAAGCTGTACTGTCTGCCATGCATGAGCATGCAGAATGATCAGTGTGAGCCATCTGAACATATTTGCAAAGGGCCTCTGTGGTTGCTCGCTCCTGCTCCAACGGAGAAGTGGGCTTCACTTTTTCCCCCACCTCTGCAGTGCTGGTGATCCCTGGAACATGGGCATTGCCCAACATAGACCTGAGCTCATACTGCACTGCGGGGATTCTTCAACAGGGTTGAGAAAACCCCACAATCAGAGACTGCCTGGAAGGCACAGGGTGGAAGTTCTCTCCCTTTGCTGGTTTTAACCTGCTTCAGTAGAGCTGGGAGTCAGAGCAGGAATCTGGGCGTCAGACAAATCTGGGTTTAATCCCTGGCCCATCACTCATTAGCTGGGGGACTCTAGATACATATGTGAATGACAATTTTCTCATCTAAATAAAAAAGGGGGATAATGAAAAATACCTCCCAGGGTTATTGTGAGAATTAAATGAAATAATGAATAAAAACAAAGTAAGCACCTAATAAAAACACTAATCCAACAGACACTGACTTAGCCCTTCCTCTCTGGCCTCCTTGTCCTGCCCCTCTCTCAACCTCCTTCCCATTATCAGAAACAGCTTTGGTTTTCTGTCTTGGCAACTTTGTAACTTGTTCTTGACCTAAGGATCATTAATATCCTCCAAATTCTGCCTTCATAGGAGAAGTGTTCAAGGGGACAGGGAAAGGTTGAGAGGCAGGGAAGCCGGGGTGATGATCAGAGTCTCTGAATCGACTTATTTCAAACTCCTGCCTTTAAAAGGAAACTCTTTTGAGCTAAGCCAGAATATTACACTTGTAACCCAAATTCTTCCAACACCCATTCCCTACATCACTTTTAAGTATACCCAGAGCCTTTCTCATTCATCTTTTAAGTTAGCTTGAACTTTAGTTTTTATGTCTAAAGGTCAGTTTTGAGGGCATCAGAAGACCCTCCACTCTGCCAGGGCTCTGCAACATCATAGTGCTTTAGGCTTGGACAGGGATTTGAGTCTGCTTGGAGGGACAAGGCAAGATGACCTGTCAAACCTCTCCTTCAGTCCCATAGGATGCTAAGATACCCAGAACCTGTTCTTGTTGGGTAGGAGGCTGAGGCTGATGGGTGGGACAAGCGCTTGGGTCTCAGCCTAAAAATGGGCCAACACCGAAACTCGCTGGGACGCTTAACCCTTCACCTGTTGAACAGCACTTGCCAGGAGGCAGTGAGAGAGGTGTGGGGTGGGGCCAGGATTCTCTGTGTTCTTATCTCAGCCCTACTGAGTAGGCTCCTTGCCATCATCACTCCCTTCCCTGGGGAGGCTCAGCTGTGCTGTGTAAGAGCCCAGACCCTCATCTGCCTTAGCCAGCACCATCATGCCCTAAAGCTGCCCTAGACCTCCCTGAGCTGTGGCCTTGAAGGAGAAGCCCCTCCTTAAAATCTGTGAATGGGAAGGGAAGCCCCAGAGGCATTCTTCCCCCAGGTTGCTGGCTGTTAACAGGCTGAGTGACCACAGTGCCCAGAAAACCTCCTGGGACAAGGTTACTCTAGGAAAGCAGAAGCCCAACATGTCTCACTTGGAAGCCATTTTCATGTCATTGGAAAGGACTGAATCTTCTACCTGGATCCTCCCTCATAAGCTGTTGGGAGTACTTCTACCAGGGAAATTTTAAGGAACCTGCCAGTCCCATTTCTGAGCTAGCCAAAGCCCCAACTCTCCCCTGGAGGAGATTCCTTCTCTCTTCTTTTCCCTCCCATAATCAGGCCATATGACCCACATGTCATTCCTGAGTTCTAACTGACTTTGAGATGCTCAACCCCTCTTTCCCAACCCTGATGGTGAATAGCTCACAGACAGAAGCGCAGAAACAGACACACACCCTGGAGCTAGCCAGGTATTCCCCCTCTGCTGGATTCGCACCATTTCTCCCTGTCCTTCCCTCCATAGCTGACTGGCTGGTCTCACAGCCTGTTTTTGGCCTAAGAGTGGGGTGCCCCTCCTGGCTGGGAGCCCCTGTGTCTGGTGGCCTCTTGCCTACTCAGGTCTTAGTGTTCCTATATGAGAGATACTTTGTAAAGTACAAAGTGCTAAAGCTCCAAGCAAACCTGAGTCATGGCTTGCACACAGGTTATCAGAGAAAGAAGACGGCACTGACTCAGGGGCTGCAGAGCTAGTGGAGCTGTGTGAACCGACCAGGGGGCAGGCTATGTCCTCGCCTGTGTGCTCTTATTCTGCTTCCTTCCCCCATCTAAAATGCCCTAGTAAATCAACCAAGGAGGAGTTCCCAGGCCCCAGGACTAGCAATTCACAGGGGAAGTCCTTTTTATCAAGGATCACCAAGATACTGGATCATTATGGTCGGAAAAACATGGTACTGGAGAGAGACCAACTTTCTACAAAGAGAATCCTAAAGAACCTTAGAGAGGGGCCCATAATATGACAATACATAGAGGGAAGAGGGACCCCCACATGCACAGCAGGGCCCATTCAGAAAGGCCCTACAAAGATGACCTTGAACTGAAAAATCCACCAAGAAAACCCAATCAAAAACTGCACAGAAAGTTTCAAATTGAGGGACCCATTGGAGGTGCCCTGAAGGGAAACCAGATAGCTCAGAAGAGCCAAGACTGTTGGGGGTAAGGGTGAGGGTGGCCCAACAGTCCTGAGGGGAGATGGACTGAGTGACCATAGAGAGATGAACCTGCCCCAAGGTGGAGGACATCTTTGTGCCTGGCATCCTCCTGGCCATCAGGAGAAGGGGGTGAAGCTGTTGTCTGGGAAGCATCAGCCCAGAGCTGGCTCCAGGGGAAGCCATCGGGGCTTGGGTCTCTCTTCCACCTCACTTCCTCTCCCACCATCCACTAGACACTCTTAGCCCCTAGGCTGCTTCCCTACCAGGTCCCAGCTGTCCCACCTCCTCCCATTTCCCCAGAGCAGGAGCTTCCAGTAGATGAGGAGGTGGAAAACCCCCAGGAAGTCTCTGATCTTGGTCCTGAAGAACTCCCCACCCTCTCCAGGGGCCCACCTTTGTAGGAGTCTTGTTCCTATTTGAACCCTGGCCTTCTTAGCAGGAAGCAGAAGAAGGAAAAACAGGGGTCTAGGGGATCTGCTCCAGGCACCCCCACCCCCGATGTCAAAACCACAGGGTCTAGAAACAGACTTTCCTCAGATACTGGATGACACCCAGCTGGATGGTTCCTTCAGTCTCACCTAGGCCTTCCTGGCACGTCCTGGGGAGCCACTGAATATCAACACCTCTCTGCCAGCCAGCCTTTCACTCAGGCCTGCTGGGAAACAGTGCTTGAGGAAGTGAGCTCCCCAGCTCCCCTGAGTATCCACTGCCACTTGTTTTTAGGATTGGTAGGACCCAGGAAGGGCCTTCAGCCTGCTCTTTTCCTTAGGGTGGGTCAGGAGTTGCCTCCTCCTCCTCACTGTTCTTAGAGAAAGGAGTGCAAGCAAAAAACGAAACCCTTAGCAACCGTGAAATTCTAAATAAAGATCACTTGGTCCTGGCCACTTTGATACAAGGTGCTGGGCTTGAAGTGACCAAGCCAAGTACAGATTTCTCCCCCAACCCCTACTCCCCACCTCCAGTACTGGGGACAGAACCCATGGGCACTTTACCACTGAGCTACATCCACCGTCTTTTCTTTTTATTGTATTTTATTTTGAGATAGGGTCTCACTAAGTTGCCAAGGTGGGCCTCAAACTGGTGATCCTCCTGCCACACTCTCCATAGTCACTGAGATTACAGGTATGCACCACAGCACCTGGCAAGTCAGACAGTTTTCTTCACTTTGTTATTTGCTCACCCTCACCCTCACCCTCACCCTCACCCTCACCCTCACCCTTACCCCCAAGCCCAACCCACTGTCCCAGCATAGCTGCAGAAGGAGGGATCAGCAGGGTAAATGGAGGGATCATGGTTCACTCTATGCCCATGTTCATTCATTCAGGGAAAATGGACTCCTGGCAATGGTTTTCCATGTCCTGCATGCCCAGCCTCAGGAAAGGAGGTCATGGGACATGGGACCCAGAGGATGTAAATGTCACCACCCCCTCTGGCACACAGGCCCATTATGCACCTAGCCTAGAGCACAGCAAAGACCTGCAGAGCATGTGAGTGGGCACACCTCCCACACATGCAGACACACCTGGAATGCATGTGCAAGTATTTTCAGTCCCCACAACATTCCACTTCCAGGGTCTGCTCCACCACGTCTTCCAAGACACATGGGGACAGGTAAATATTCCTCCGAGACACACACAGATACATGTTTGCACAAGCCCTAATCAATACACGTGCAGTATGGCACCTGCCCCCAGGTGTGCCTCTATAATTGCCCCACCCCACCCACTTCTTCTAAGCCTCCCCCAACAAATGCCCACTTTGCCTCCATTTCACATAGGTGCCAGGACACCAAATGTGTAGCATGTGGATACACGTATTTTCTTCACTTATACACTCCCAGGTCCACACCCCTGGCTGAGGGAGCGAACCACCCATCTCCTGCCACATCATGGGACTACAGCAATTCAGCACACCCAAGTCCCTTGCAATGCCGGCTCCCCAGGTCTGGGTCTTCAGGAGTGCCCCACGCCCTCACCCTCTTTCTTTTCCAAGGTTCCTTATCCTAGACTTATTCCCTTTAGTTCCCCAGACAGTAACCCACTCCCGCCCCAAGACGACCCGCTATCCACACTGCCCTCTCCTGGCCGCTGGGGAATAAGTCCCCCTCCCGCCCCCGTCGCCCCCTAGTGTCCCTCTCCTTCACCCCTTTCCGCGCGCAGTGACACCTGTCAGAACTCCCTCCGCCCCTCACCTGGGTGCGCGGACTCCAGATTCACCATCCTGCCCCAGGCGGGGCCAAAGCCAGTGCCTCCCCAGGCCCCTCGCGTCTGCCCCAGCCGGGCTCCCTGGGAAGCCAGGGTCTCCTTTCTCCCGCCCCCGGCCGCTGCTGCCGCGGGAGCACTCGGCGCGGCCAGGATTGCCACACTCCCCAGGTGAGCACGCGGCGCGGGGCGGGGGCCGCTGGCCACGCCCCCTGGCAGGGCCCCCGCGCCTGGCCTTGGGCCTATGCAAAGCAGCATTTGCATACGGGGGAGCTGGGGGCCTGGCGAGGGGGTCCGGGTGCTGCCGGGGCGGGTCCGACTCCGCAGAACACCTGTCTGCCGGGACCCGGCCTGGCGGCCCCTCCCCACCACACCCGCAGCGGTCCAGCGCGCCCTTTTTAGGAACCCTGCTGGGGTATCCAGCCGGGCCTGAGCTTCTGTCTGGATAGGCTCCCAAAGAGTAAGCCTGCGAGGAACCTGGAGTGTTTGGAGAAGCCTTGCGGGTGTGCTGGAAAGAATCTGGTGTTGGAATCCTTCCTTTCAAGCGCTTCCCAGCAGTGCGGTATGGGACAGGCTCTTCACCTCCCTGAACTCATGTTACTCATCGGTAAAACCGGGCAGGGACAGAGCAAAATGGGCATCTATCTGGGTTAAGCAGGTGTCCAAGCTCACCTAGTTCCCAATGCTCTCTCTCAATATTGTGGGACTTAGATGGCCCCCAGCTTATTATCACATTTTCCAGTGGAGGACAACTGCCCCTTGCCTGCCATTCCCTGCCCCCAGGTTTCAGGTTGCTGTGAGACTCTATGAGAAATGGATGTGGAGATTATTTGCCAGTGCTGGGGGGGGGGCGGGTTGTGGTGACAGCCACTTTCCAAAGCTTGTGACTTGTCCAATGGTACAGGATTCCCCAGTAACAGAGTCTGGCTGGAATCAGGTCTCTGGACTCCCATTCTAGTCTCTTCGCAGCACTCATCATAAACTCATTGCCCAGGACCCCACCCATCGTCTTTCCTCCTCTCTTCAGGGGCCAGTAAATGATTCCAAGGAAAAGGGACCACCTGCCTGAAAGTTCAGAAAGCCACGTGCAATCAGGAGGATAAGGCCCCACCTTACTTTCCAGAGGACACCCTATCAACCTCCCATCACCTTACTGCCAAGGTCTGTTTTCTGCTCACAGAGCAGGTCCTGGACTTTTCTGCCTCTAGGCCTTGTTTACAACGTTCGTTTCTCCTGGAATGTACACCCTGATAATTCCTAATACAATACCCAGCATTTATTGCGCTTTCACTATGTGCCCCGCATGGTGCTGACCAACAGTTTAAAGGCATCTTTGATACCTTTAGATCTCATTTAGTACACATAACCAGTAAATTGTACCATTATTATTTCCATTACAGATGGAAAAAATGAGCTGTCAGAAGTTTGACTTCCCATGTTACGCAGTCAGTGTGGGAGCTCCTGACCTAAAAGCACTGCTGTCTACTCCGTCTGCCCACCATTCATATGTCCCCTCCTTTTAAAGTAGAAAGTGATCTGATCTTTTTCTGAATTACTAGGATATTTCAATGTTCTTAATAGCCTTTGTGGAGTGTTATGTGAGACTCTCCTTAGGCTCCCTCCTGGCTGTTCATTTTATTGCCCCTCTTCCAAGTACCCTAGAACACTGTTGGGCACATACCAGGCATTAGAAGGTGTTTAGTGCCCAGCAGCTGAGGCAGAATGACAGCAAGTTTGAGGCCAGCCTGGGCAAGTTAGCGAGACTCTGTCTCAAAATAAAATAAAAAGGGCTGGGGATGTAGCTCCGAGGTACAGCACATTTGGGTTCAATAGCCAACACTGCAAGAAAAATAAAATTTTGAAAGAGAGAAAAGAAAACGTGAAAAGATGTTCAGTGGGTGTTGCCAGAGTCCTGGAGGAACAGGAAATGCTTAAGTGCATAATGCCAGTCATGTCCACCTCTCCTGTCCTGGAAAGAAGAGAGGGATCTTCTTTTTGTTCCTTCTGGTTCTTATTAGGGGAAGAGATCAGCAATGACTTCTTGGAGGCTCAAGTGACCCCAGGGGTCCCTGTAAGGACACTCTTAGCCTTTGTCCCTTCCTTTCCTCCCCACTATTCTCCTTTCCTTCCCCTCCCCCACTTCATGTTTGGTCCCTTCCCTGAGGTCCATGTCTTATCTACAACTGCACTCACCTGCCATGGTCCTAGAAACATGCCTGCCTGAAGTTAATATACCCCAGTATACTTGTGATTTCCATATCTCTATTTGCATATCATTTGCATGGCTATGTGCACCTAGGGTCTAGTTCTCTGGCACCCTATCTGGGACCTGTTGCACTTTTCCATGTGCAAAGTCACATATTTTTCCTCTTGGGTTTAGTTTTCCAGAAGCCAGAGAAGCTGGTATCTGATGATGTTCAAAGGTCTCTGGGGCTCCAGCAGCCTGGAATTCTGAGGGGTGAGAATAAGGGGAGATGGAGTTCTTGGGGAGGAGGACACTGAGAAAGAGATAGGCACTTGCAAGTCTACAGTTGGAAGCAAACCTTTGGGTTCCAAACCTGGGGCAGGGAGCTAGGAAGATGGGAGGGATGGGGTCAGGGTGGTGAGAGTGGCAGGTATTACCTCAGGTTCAGCCATTCACTCATTCATTTCAATAAATATTGGTTAAGTGCTTCCTACATGCCAAGAACTGTGCCACAATTGAACACGTGCTGTTTTTTTTAGTCAGCACAAATTTACAAGGAAAGTACGATCATTAGACCCCTTTTATAGACAAGGAAACTGAGGTTCAGGGAGGTTAACAGTGGATGGCAAGGTTGGGATTTAGAAGCCGACAGTGCTTTAATCTTGCCCTGCAGCTTCTGAGCCTTCCCTTCTCTTCCCTTTCTTTTATTATCATATAACTTGAAGAACCTAGAGATCATCTGCCCCCGTCTCACAAAACCTGAGGCCCAGAGCAAGAGGGACTTGTCCCAGGTCACAGACCTAGTGGAAGGCTGAACAGAGGACCACCTCTTTTTCCCTGCTTGTGCATTTCCTGGGTCTTGAAAGTCTGTGTGTGTGTGTGTGTGTGTGTGTGTGTGTGTGTGTGTGTGTGTGATGTGTGAATGGAGCCAGAGAGAGACATTTTCTATTCCCTCTTTCTCTG